ATTGTTTACTAAATGTTTGAGGTGTGAAATAAACTGCAATGGAGCAAAATATGTGTCATGGTCCTGGGTCGGTGACCCAGTGTTTTTGATTGTGTACTTTTACTTTTGATAGTTTTTTGTATTATGACTGTTGTTTTGGGTTTCCTAGGGTTTAGTTGTGTTCCCTCTGTTTGGTGTCTTTCCTGCTTGTGTATCCCCTTAGTGTAGTACAGGGCTGGGCAACTCCAGGCCTCGAGGGCCAGTGTCCCTGCAGGTTTTAGATGTGTCCTTCAACCAACACAGCAGATTTAAATGGCTAAATTAGCTCCTGCAGTTCTCCAGAGGCCTGGTAACGAACTAATCATGTGATTCAGGTGTGTTGACCCAAGGTGAGATCTAAAACCTGCAGGACAAGATTAAAGCTGCGGGGCGCAAACATTTTTCTTGTAGAACAAAGAGGGGCATAGCAAAAAAAGTTTGGGAACCACTGCTTTAACGGCAGCTGTCCACAATACACACAGAGCTGCAGCTCTCCTGCTGCCAGCTCAACATAACAACAACACCATTACAGGACCCAGTGCTATGTTTAAGTCGGCATGATTGCGGATGCCGTGCAGGTGCGTCCTCCTTCCCTGCAGGGCACCGCAGGCCACGCCCCGCCACAGTAATATTGACTGAAATAACTAGTGTTTATCACAAGACAATACTTCTAATCACACAGATCAACAGTTATACTAGATCCATTCATTTTTCCAAACTTGGAGATTGCTGATAATGTTAATGCAATTTTAGAAAAGCAATAGTTAAAGTCAAGAAACTTTTCAGGCACTGTCTTGAAGCCTAGCAGTGACACCTTGTGGTGAAAAAGTTAATCACATCACATGTCTTGTTGCCCTTACAGCTACAGCAGTGCAGTGGCCGATGTAGCTGGAGATTCCGAGACTTACCATGCATTGGACATTTCCTCCTGTGCGTTTATGAAGCAACTGTGAGTAATAACAGGTCTATTACTATCAGGAGCTTTGTGGTTATCAGTCTATTGCAAGACCTGTTCATTTGTGTCGAGAGAAGTTGTTGAGGATGCTAACTGTATCTTTGGACTCCATGTGGTGGATAGCATCCGTAACATACATCTTAAACTTAAGACTTTTGCATAATATGATATTTTGAGACTAGTGTTTACACTGTGGTTTGTTTTCACTTTTTGTAATGGCTGTTTGGGTTAGGGTTGTGTTAGTCTAGAGATCTGAGCGATTTTTATTAGAGATGGACCGATCCGATATTACGTATCGGTATCGGTCCGATACTGACCTAAATTACTGGATCAGAGAGAAATAAAAAATCCGAAGTATCACAAAATCACCTCACAAAACGCGCTACTTGGCGTAACCCAGCTCGGCGCATCGGAGCAGTATGTGTCACGTGATAGAGCGGCTGTTGTCTGCGAGACCTGTTGGAGCATTTGGAGCCTTGCTACATGCTTCCTAACCGCAGCATTTCATCTCGGCG